GGTTAGCAACCCATCTCCTAGTCATTAAGCTCCCAGATCTCCTCACAGCTGCACGATGGAGGGTTTCATAGACCGCCAGCCTTTTGGCATAGAGAGCATCATCTTCCTCCCTCTGAGTGGCTGGTGAGTTTGAACCACTGGCCTTGTAGTTAACCATTCAATGCCTACTAACAGCATCACCAGGATTCCTTATGATAGCTCAAAGCTTCCCCCTCCCCCAAATAGTTACCACTTAAAATATTTATCATGCTTGGATAGCAAATATGTATTTGTAGTCATAACAAACAATTAGTTTGTCTTAATCTTATAACATGACAAATATAGCTGATATTAACACTAAGTTTAGAAGTTGGCAAATGAGTCACATGTATCTAGAAACTACTGCCATTGTGTCGGATGTCATTCCTCGTGTCTATTGTAAAAATGCTCCTGGATTCACCTTACTTTTTCTTTTCTTCTCTTCTTTTGGGGGAAATTTTTGTAGTTTCTTTTTATATGGCATACATTTTTATAAGGTCAAATTCTCTTTTAATAAAAGCAGCACAGGCACATTACAAAAACTTTACAGATCCAATACTACGGAAGTAAAATTAAATTCCACATGAGGTTTCCATGAGTTGGAACATGTTTGATGACAACTTGTTAGATTTGCTTTAAAAAAAATCATAGGTTTTGGAAACAGCCCTCGTTCTACTATTAATGAGAACTTTGGAGCTGCTCTTTAAGCTTTCTAAGCTGTTGTTTTCTAAACTGGAAGGATCAGTTAAAAACTAATAAGCAAACAAACAAACAAACAAACCCACTGCCACTCAGTGTTTACAGGAGCAGAGGCCTAAATCTCTCTCCCGTGGAGCAACTGGGGAATGTAAGCTTATCTTGCAACCATCGGCCTAACCCACAGGGCCACCAGGATGCCCTCACAGTTGTTATCTTTGAGCCCATTGTGCAGCTACTGTGCCAAGGTCTTCCTCTTCTTGCTGCCCCCTCATTTTACTGATGTATGGTCCATCTTTTCTAAGACTATGCTTTTAAGGGTCATTAAATGATTAACTAACCCCTCTAGGTACTAAAATAAGCATTAATGACTGAGCACTTGGTAACCCAATACATATTTGTTCACTGCTAATAAATTATTTGTGGGAATTTCCTCAATATCAGCTAATTTTGATTCTCATTTCTAATACACCCTTTACTAAAATACTAACAAGATAATTACTTTACCTCCTCTCTTTTGTTTATTAAAGTTTCATTTAACATTTTAGGTTCTGAGTAATACTACTCTTTAAAATGAAACCTATTCATTTAATATAATATCATTCCACTTAATTTGTCTAATCATCTTTAAATAAAAGAACTAAGCTATTACTAATACATTTTCAGCAAATTTCTAGTATATTAATAACATTTCTGGTATGTTCCATTTTTAAATAAGTAACCAATAATTTGGTAGATTTTATTCAATTTTCATCCTATCACACCAATTTAATTATTATTCCACTAGCCAAATTGCCTGTGGTAGTTACATAATTTCATATCAACTTGATAAATAAGGGTAGGGGTGAAGTCTAGCCTGTCAAACAGGTCACAGTCTAATGATGCCTCCTTCTGGGCATGGCTTTCTCATGAGAATTTGGGGTACTTCCTCACTCTCTCTGCTTCATCTCCCTGGTGAGAAGCAATACTCAGAGAGCTGGAGGAGCCATGTGGAGACCAACACCAGCACGGCGATGGTTCCCCTGCCACTGGATCCACAAGACTCTGCACCCACTGGCCTGTGATCTTCCTGCATCTTGCATCACTGCTGTGTGGCGTGAGTCTGAAGAGGAATTTATGGACTAGCATCGGGCTTATGGGCTAATATCAGACTCAGGGACTTGATCTGGACTGGGCTGGGATATTTGCTCAATGGATAACTGCTCTTTGACATAAAGCTCTCTCTTACAGATATGTGAGTGTCTTTGGATGCATTTATCTAGTCAACCCAGCCTAACACATTGGCGTTTCTTAATTTTCTGCCCCAGAGTAAGACATTTCAAAATTTAAAAATCTTTGGTACTACAAAGACCCACAAATAAGAAGAAAAGAAATAAAGACACATGGATTAAATCTTATCTAGAAGTATATGACATGTTCCACGGAAGTTCTCAACAGTTCTTTTTCATCACAGAATACAATGAAGTGCAGGAAATCCCCTAATCACAAAGTAGGTCTGGTCTGAAGTCTAACTGAAGAACTTTGATGGTGAGCTGGGTTACATGTTGGCTTATAAGGTCAGCAGTTCAACACCAATAACTGTTCCTTAGGAGAAACAAGAGGCTGTCTACTTCTATAAGGATATATATTCTTGGAAAGCCACAGGGGCAACTATACTCTGCCCTACAGAGTCCTTGAGTCCAAATTGACTCGATGGCAGTGACTTTGATTTTGAGTGTTAAATTGAATTTGTTCAACCTTATTTTAGTGCAAAAAAAGAAGGCCCAAAGCCTTTTCATTGAGGTAAAACCTGGATGGGAGGGTGATTCTGAATACGACAGACTAGTGGATTAAGCTTAAATTCCGAGCACTATGTTTGGAGAAGGCTCCAGTGTACAGTTGGATCCCTAAATCCACTTTGATTCTTCACATAAATTCAGCTTTCATTAGGGTTCCTCGGTGACCAGCAGTGTAAAGAAGACTTGCCCTCAGGCAGTGTTTGGTGAAATTTGCAAAGCCAGCCAGGGGTGGGGGTGGGTGGGGGGTAGTCTCACACTCAGGAACATCCCTCGACTCTCCTGTGATAGAAATTGGGGTGCCCGGGTCTCACAATTATGAGTTAGGCGCCAACCAAGATGGTGAGGGGGCCCGGGGCCAGTTCTGAAACCTTGTCTAAGCAGCAGTAGCATAGGTATCCTGAGCAGGGCTTCTCTCCAGATTCTGTAGGCCCACAGGCAGCAGGGATGGATTGATCTGCCATCAAAGCATGGTTTTGTGACAGCTTCCAACTTCTAAATAAAGAAGTCACAAGCCCTTCAAACACTGCATGGCCAAATGCTGAGAGTCTCCAAATGAGGGATTTTATTTGTCTTTGCATTTTGTCCTGTTTAAGATTCAATAAAAGTATCTCAATATATTTTAACGTGGGATCTTCTCTCTTACTCACCCCAGAATATTAGGAAGAAGGACCTGGTGAGCTACTTCTAAAGAAATTGACTAGTAGGAATTTATTAGTAAAAGAAGAATATTGCCCAATATCGTTCCATAAGATGACTCCTCTCACATTGGAAGGCACTCAGACATGACTGGGGAAGAGCTATCGTCTCAGAGTAAGTCAACCGTAACGCCCTGGATGTGGAGTAAAGCTTTCAGGCCTTTATCTGCTGATGTGGCACAACTCACAATGTGAAGCAACAAGCGCAAACCCCCATTTATCATCAGAACACAGAAGCATGGCTCTAGGGAAATGGGACGTTGTACGAAAATAAAATAGAGCTCTTAAAGACTGATACCCTAAGTGTTAGGGCGCTGGGGTGAACTGCCTTCGCCATTTTCATTCAGACAACCATGTGATCCACTTTGCTAGGAATGACGAGGCGAAGAGGCATCACATTCACTGTTAAAAAGAGCATTTCAAGATCCTTCTAGAAGTATAACACTGTTAGGGATACAATGATACCCATAGGCTTACGAGGAAGACCAATGAATATGACTATGATGAAAACTTATATACCAACCACTAATGCCAAGATGAAGAAACAGCTCAAAGGCTGTCCTACATTCCAAACTTAGTCAATCATTCTTTTTCTGATAATGTCTTGTGGTCAGCCAGGCAATAGACAGGCAGCTTTGCATTTCTAGAAAGAATTATGAACAAGATACCACAGAAGACTGGTTTTCCAATAGTCACATGGGCAACCAAAAATTATTAGAAAACACATATAACCCTCAAAATATCTCTGGTTTCAAATGAGTACATCGAGGCCAGTGCAAAGCACAGAAAGCAGGTTGGGAGTTGATAAAGGAGTATTTTCTTCCCACCCTGATTGTGAGCAAATGCCCAGGTCTGTGGTCCTTATATTCAGTATTTAAGATTTATCAGAAGACAAATCTTTCTTATTATTTTCACTGCAACCTATATTACGGAGAGCTCCACCCTGCATCATAACGTACCCAAGGGGTAACTTGTTCAAAACAAAGGCCTTTCATGCATGTAGCATAACATTTCAAACATCTATTAAAAAGATTAAGCTTTTTTTTTTTAACCGCGGTATATTGTGGCAATGGGTTAATTAGAACATGTGTCCTACTGCTTCCAGACCTTGGTTTACTCGAGCTGGATTTATCGCACAGTCAAGATGACTTCTAAGCCGTGTGTGTGGCCTACCTGACGTAGAGGGAGCGCTTCTGATTGGTTCGCAGGGATCCGGATCCAGAGCTCATGCTGTAGTTCATCATCTGCTCTCGTAGGTCATGGATTTTGGCCTCAAATCGTGCGTAATCTGGGATGGAGAGAAAGGCGGCAAATGTGGTTCCATGCCTTCACAGAACTAAAAGCCCTCCACTGCCAAAGGAGCTCCTCCTCCCGGGGCTGTTGGTTCTGCTGAAGCCACACGGATGCGCAGCCCAAGAAGAGCGGAACACGAAGGTGTGCCTGCTCGGAGTTAGTCCCAGACATTCACGACAGGAAAAGGAAACACCACTGGCTTCCCCAAGCTGAACTAGAAAACACAGCAGTATCTATCCCGAACATGCAAAGAGTCAACGAGGGTAGAAGGGAAGTAGTTGTGATTAAGAACACACCCAGCAGAGATGATCGTGGCGATGAAAATACGCATGGTCTTAATCTTGACTGCTGAAAGAGACACAAACCTGATGCGTCCTAGCATTACGCAGCGCGGAGTACACATAAGCACACATAGCACAAGGAGAGCTTGGAAAATCGGAAGAGATCAGTGGATTGCATCCATGTCAATATCCTGGTGATGATGGGGCGATACTATAATTTTGCAAGATGCTATCAAAATGGTAAAGGGTACTCAGAGTCTCTCTGTATAGTTCCTAGAGCTACATGTAGCTCACCACGTCTTCTACAATTTAACTTGTAGTTGACTCTGCTTCACAGTGCACTTCTAGAACCGAGCAGGAATGCCCCGGTGCCCAAGGCTGTAGCTCCACAGAAGCAGGTTGCGGGGTCTTCCATGGAGCAACTGGTGGGTCGAGATAACTGACCTCTGAGTGAGCGGAGGAGTGAGTCACCACAGTGCCACCAGGGCTCCGCATCGAAACCCAAACCAAATGAAACTGCCATCACGTTCATTCGGACCCACAGTGACCCACAGGAAGTTTAACTTTGAAAAGAGGTGTGCCAAAGAAAGTCCAGGAAATTCCCAAGGCTATGGGCAGTTAGGGAGAAAGATCGGGCTTTCTACTTCCATGAAAGTTATCGGCCCAGACACTCACCGGGGCAGTTGCCCGTCATATAGGGTCGCTATGACTCGGCATGACTCGATGGCAGAGTTTGGTTTGGGTTTTTGGACTAGGGGGGTGGGGTGGGGGCTGACAAAATGTCTGGTTTGCCCTCTGGCACACAGACCAGTCTTGGGTGACTCGTGAGGGCTAGTGTTGGAAGGTCACTTAATTTCATGAACTTTTTTTGGTGGAGGGGAGAGAGAGAGGACTAGGGCGCTCCTCTTACGTTTACCAGCTGGGATCATACCTCAGAATTTCCACTTAACTTTAGCATAAAAAGCCCACATACCTGCCCCAGCACATCAATTCTCTGATGCACAATATGTTTTAATGTAGTCTCATAAATACATTTTACACAGGATTAGATTCGGAACTGAGAAATACGTGTACATGTAATATATTTTAGACACACTCTTATTTGAAAAAATTGAATAATATGGGCAATTATGTCATACTAGTTCTAATGGGAAAATATTTTTGTCAATATAATAAAATTTAAAACAGCACAAATATGTTCTAGATGCTTATGAACATAATTAGCATATAGAAAAAGAAATAGCTCTTGAAGTTCAGCTACTCTTTTTTTTTTACTTTAAGCTACTCTTGATCAGAACCCCATAACTGTTCTCTCATCTCCTTTGTACAAAAGATCTTACTCTAAGAAAATCCATTAGATGTAAAGCTCAATTTATTAAAAAAGATTTGAAAATGTTAATTGAAATGATAAATGACTCTGAATTGCAAAGGATTTTAATAGAGGTCCTCAGTGCATTTCAAAACACAATTTGATTTTCAAATCAATTAACTTTCTAGAAAACACGAGTAACTACTGAATGTAATAAAAGATGGTTTACTTACACTGTGTATCAAATTCTGTATTACAAAAGTTCTACAATATTAAATTTAATTTCAATTTACTAAGTATCTATTGATAACTGTGGGATGAAGTTTCCAAAAGGAAAAAATTGACCTTGGTCTTCAATAGTACATAGACCATTAGCTATTTTTAAAGTTTATTACTAACGAGAGAAACCCCTAATAGCTGGCTAGAAGTTTCTGGTGCTTCTGCAAAGGCTGGTGTTAACCTAGATTTGGAAGACTTCTTGTTTTAAACCTAGGTTTGAGTGATTAAACTCTACATGATTAAACAAACGGAATACATATTTGACCAATAATTATCTATAATTTAAGATAACATAATTTTATTTTAGCAGTGAGAGGGAAAACGTTTATGTATGACCATCAATATATTATCATATGCAGATTTCAATCATTTTAAGCAAATCTTACTTTCTTGCATCCTCAATGTCAATGGCCATTTATTGCTGGCCACCTGGCAAGACCTGTGCTCACTGCTCCATTGGGCAGCACCTCCATTCTTTTTAACTTACAAAATCAAGTCATGCACATTTAAAAAATGTGAGTGAAACAGGAAAACACGGAATAAGACTTGAGAGTTCCTCTTTCACTTCTCCCTTCCCACGCCCTTTCTTTCTCCTTTCTAATCTTCCACTGCTGTGCTTCCCTGAGTTTACCCTAGAGGGTAAACATATAGGGTCATGGGCTGTACTTCCATGTATTTCTCAATCCTTTATATACACCCCCCCCCACAATCTTTTATATACACACCCCACACCATAACTCCATGTATGGTCCCATACACGGTACCCCTTTCCTTTTAAAACTGCAACTTGGATCTTTTCTTGCTTTCCTATCCATGTTTCGATCTATCCATTCACCCACCCACCCATCCACCCACCCATCCATCCATCCATCCATCCATCCCTATTGGTATTTAGACTCAGGAAGTTTGTCGATGTGCATGATTATAAACAGGGGTCTTGGTGTGCGTGGTGTGTACATGTAAAGCAGGTTAGCTAAGGGGCAGGGGTGGTTAAAGCTTATTAAGCCATCTACAACCGCCACAGGCATTTCTCAGAGAAGTGATCTGGCCTGGGACCTGAGGTAAAATTCAGTGTACATCACTACTTGCTAAGCCCTCATTCCACCCATGAATAGTCCTACTCAGAGTCCCATCTGCACACAGGGCAGCCTCTTTTGCTACTTTGATGGCTTCAACTTGATGGCAGTGCGTATAGGACGTGTTCAATAAATGATTTATGAATGAATGAGGGATGGAATGGGTAGCATTATTAAATAAATTCAATTACAAAGTGGCTGCCCATTTTTACTGTTATGCTTTTTTTTTTTTCAATGAAGAAAGACAATATATGTCTCCTCTTGGACATCTTTTATTCAAGGCTAATAATTATGTTAGACTTTAAGACTTTATTTTAATTTTATCCTACATCATTGCCCCTTCCAAATTGCTCTGATCTGTTTATAGTTCTCTGAGTGATCTCTGTGTCTACTGAAGCCATGTCATATGTTAGTTTGTTCTCAGGAACTTAGCTCATATCTACTCGGGCACTTTGTCAGGCTCCTGTAGCTGTCCCACTTTAACACTCACACTGAATACTTGCATTAAGAATTAATTGTCTTCTTCATTTATGGCTCATGGTTCGATCCCTCAGATTGGTTTCTGCCATGCTTTTGAAAAGTTTGCTCTGTGTTGTATTTTGTGGTGGCTACACATTGTCTCTCTGGAGAATTTCTATTGCATTTGTTTAAACTGGAATCCATCCTATGTTCAAAGGTTCCAACCCCTTCCTGTGCTCTTCTTTGGTAAGTAAAGCTGAGATACAAGTAATCTCCTAAGAGCAAGAACAGAAGGATCTAGTTTCTAGCTTCTGGAAGACAAACAGGTCTATAGTTGTTAGAAATGTTCCAGAGATAAAGAAGAAATCAGCTTAGTAAAGTGTGAAATGTGAATTTTCTTTATATTCTATTACAGAATTAAAACTTACATTTTTCAACAAGTTAAAATAGAAGTACCTAATACAGCCACATCCATTTCATCTTAATCCCATTTTTCCTCCCTAAATAACATATGTGAATATAAATCAGTCATACTCTCTCCCCTATAAAACATTTTTTCCCATTAAATTTCTAACATTCTCAATGCCAAAGCCCTGCAGACCATTCAAATGTGATTTTAAAGTATTCCAGGCTTTATAGCACCTAAAGAGAAACTCATATTTATTGAGCACCTGCAAGGGACCAAGATCTATGCTTTGTACTTGAAAAATTATATGACTTCTCCTAATTACAGAGATATAATTATTTTAGGGATGAGGAAAGAGGGGCACAGAGAGGTTAACTCACTTCATCAAAGTCACAGAGCTTGGAAGTAACTTGGACACAGAACTGCGATTCAGCCCTGGGTCTCTGAGTTCTTGGTGCTTTCATTCTACCATAAAGCCTCTTTTGACACCACCATTCTCACCGCGAACCTTAAAGCTCCTCAATCCTCTGGTCTACCACCTCTTCACACCCAGTCCCCACTCCTTCCTTCATGGGTACGTACATGTGGGTTTTCTCCATTGCACTGCAAGCTCCTTAGAGACTGGGGACTCTTTACTCTAGGTTCCCCAGACATCAGGGCCTGTCATTGTGCTTTCTGTGTACACAGCACTGAGTTAGGCACTGGGCATATAGTGGAGAAAGGGGTTTACCTCTAGAAGGGGGCACTGACAAAGCAAGCATGATGATGCTGGATGGGAGGGGAAACTTATTCTCCTCTGCTGTTTATAAAATAGATGCGTGGCAAATGTTAAAGTGCAGAAACGGGGCCCTGGTCCTACTATGGGCTATACATGGAC